GCCTGGCGGGCGACCCTCCTGGGCGGCTCCCTCCTCACGCCTGTGACCTGGAGGCGCCGGGCCACAGTTAACGTGGAGGGGGTCGGGGGAGGGGCAGGAGCCGCCCCTCTGGCCGAGGGTGCGGAGAGGTTCCGGGGCCCTCTGAGTTTCTGCCCTGGGGGTCGGGGAGGGTTGGCCGCTCAGGGCCCAGGTAAGGGCCCGAATTCTCCGTGGGTAGGGGCCGGTCGGCCCGGAGGGTCTGTGGGCTGAAGACCTGGATCACCTGCCTTTCCCTGGGTCACACTCATGTTTCACAGCTGCCTGAGTCTTTGGCTGAAAAAAAAAAAGATGCTTAGAATCCAGAGACACAGTGAAACCTCGGCTTTGAAGCAATGTTCCGTGCGTTTGGAGATGTAGCGAGGTGGAGGCGATTGCCCAGTGGATTCTTTCGAGAGAGAAGAATTTTTGTTTGAATTTGTCATGATCTGCTTGTGCTCCCCTTTCCTGATCCTTGACATTCCGGAGGCTATGTAGGAGACTGTCAGTTCCCCTCAGAGATCTCACAGAACCCCCAGACTTTTTCTCTGGCAATTTAGAGGGCAGGACAGACCAAGAAGGACTTTCTTAGAAATAAGGGATCCAGCTCTGTGCATTCTGAGCTTTTCCTTCTTGGAACTTTACACAATGTGTAATTTCTGTTATATATTTCTTATAAAACATTTATTTATGTATGTGTTTGTGTGTATCTGCCACTAGAATGCAAGCTCCAGCAGGGCAGGGCCATGTCTCACTGTACCTAGTGCTAGTACACTGCCTAGAATATAGTAGGCACTCAATTCAGGAATGCCTTGTGTATCCATACTTCTGAGGACTGAAAAACTCCACAGAAGTCCTTGTTTTCAGGGAACTAAGGCATATTCCTCTAACCATGTTGCTGTCATTTCTGGAGCTCTGCCAATGTCCGTAACGGCAGCCTTAGTGACATATATTAGTTCAGAGGTTTAGTTAGAGTTTTAGGGATCTTGGAGGAGAGGCCACCTCCTCCTACCCATCCACACACACCTGTTAAAGTGGTCCCATTTGTATTTGTGCATTTGGTTCCTACAGAAGATTTTCTTTTAATAAAGTAATTCTGCTGCTGAAAAACAAACCACCACCACCACCCAAAACCTGCTAAATTTGAAAATTAGTAACCTCACACATATAAGCAAAAGAAACTTGGCCATCTGGTATCCATATAGGGATGTTTCAAGGGGCAGGGAATTAGCAAGTCCCTGAGACTAAAGTCAGCAACCCAGACTGTGGTTTTAAAGCAGTTTCCCAGTCTCAGCACTGTTGACATTAGGGTCTGGAGAGTTTGTTGTCAGGCAGTCCATTGCACTGTAGGGTGTTCAGCTGTATCCTTATCCTATAACCACTAGATGCCAGTAGCATCCCCATAGTTGTGTCTCCAGATAATGCAGAAATGTTCCCTGAGGGCAAAATAACTCCTGGTTGAAAACCACTTGTCTGAGGGATATAAATCTGCCATAAATATAATAGTGTCGTCAACATTTGAACCATTTTGAAGTTTTTCTTGCCTTAAAAAAAAGTAGAGCTAATGAAGTGAATCTGGTGTTTGAGGGTCATCATTGTATGTGTCACTTGTCCTGTACTGTAAATAAGTGATTAAGTTGTAGGGGGTGGGTAGGTGTTTGTTTGCACCAAAATACTATACTTGGATTTGGGGGCTCTAATTTTAGAGCTTTTCCCACCTGCTTTTTGTCTTTCGGCTGTCACTGTAGGGGCTGTAGCAGAGCAACAGCAGCTGGCTCTTGCTGTCAGTTGTTGGCACCTTTTGATTTACAGCCTCTAGAGTGCTGTGGAATGAGGAAGCTGATAATGAAGTTTGTGAAGTTTTATGAGTAGAATAAATAGCTTTGAGAAAAGAACCCAGAGCGTTTGCTAAGAAGTAGATTGTATAGATTTTGAGATACACTTTTTGTCTACTTCAGGCCTTTTTCTTTTGGAATGCGTTCATAAGTTTGGGGGATTTATAGAACTAGAAAAGCTCTTGGGGATTATCTAGTTCAAACTTCCCTTGTCCCCATTTTACAGTCAGGAATGTGTCCATCTCACTAGGGGCGTTGTCCAAGGGCACACAGTTTTGTTAATTTCAGTATTAGGCCATGACCTGCAGTTCTGATTCATGGTCAAGTGCTGGTTCCAATGTAATGTGGCTCTTAGAACTAGAGAGTTGATGTTAATAGGGATCTCAACCTTCAGATAAAAGGGGTTATATGAGACAATCTCTGTCCTAGATTATGTGGGATAGTCATTCTTTCATTCACACACTGAATGTTTATCAGATCCCTGCCGTATGAATTCGTTCATACCTGCAAAGCATTTAGAACAGTGTATGACACATAGTAAGCATTTCGCTCTGTTGGCGATGATGTTCCAGGCACTACAGTGGGCAGGCTCAGCGATGGTACAATGATGAGCAAGGTGAATATGATTCTTGCTTCTGTGGGGCTTGTGTTAGAAGTTGGGAGAAGAGTGTGGGGTGGGTGATGCTGTCATCTTGTAACATGGTATTTTGGTTTTCTTCTTAGATGCTTTCTTCACATGTCGAAAAAATGTCCTTCTGGCGAAGAGCTCGTCCCCCCAGGTAGAAGGCAACTTTGCCATGGCCCCTCGGGGCCCCGACCAGGAGGAGTGTGAGGGCCTGCTGCAGCAGTGGCGAGAAGAAGGGTCAAGCCAGGTGCTCTTGACTGTGAGCGACGGTCCACTTGTAGATAAAGGACTAGCCCAGAGCAGCCTGGCACTCCTGATGGATAATCCTGGAGAACAGGATGCTGCTTCAGAAGACAAGTGGTCCAGCAGGCAGCTGAGTGACCTGCGGGCAGCAGAGAACCTGGAGGAGTCTTTCCCTGAGGTGCTAGGAGAGGAGCCACTGCCAGAAGTTGAGGGCCCAGTGTGGACAGCTGTCCCAATGCAGACTGGCCCCCAGTATGTGGACAGTGTTGTCCTCCCAGTGGGTGCCCTGGCCACAGAGCAGTGGGAAGAGGACCCTGCAGTGGTGGCCTGGAGCATAGGACCTGAGCCTGTGCCCGCCCAGGAAGAGGCTCCTATCTGGACCTTTGAGGGCCTAGGGCAGCTGCAGCCTCCCCCAATGGAAGTCCCATATCATGGTGAGTCTGACAACTGGCTGAGTGAGCCAGGGTAGCAGGTTGTCTCGGATGTGGGCAGAGCCATTGCTCCAGAGAAGGTTCTCTTGTGGGGAGCTCTGCCACTGCATTCTGTTTTTCTGAGACTCTTGCAGTGGCAGATCTAGAGGGGCCTTAGAGATCATCTCATCCAGTCCCATGGTCTTTCAGATGCGATTGCCACATGCCTAAAGTCACATAGCTAGGTCACGGCAGAACTGAAAGCAGACCCTAGTTCTGATTCTCCACAGTATTGGTTCTCTGGAGGTGACCCAAGGGCTTCCGGGGTAGGGGTGGAGAGCTCTCAGGGCTTCTACTCTGCCTCAACCAAAGATAACTCCACTTTTATCTGTATTACATACTGGGCTTCCATTAGAATTTGAAGAATGAGTTCTGTGATTCACATAGGTTTGAATCTACACGGTAGCTCCATGTTCTAGGGTAGATGGGGAACACATTGTGGTTTCTAGCCCCACAGGCTTTTCTAGGTTTAGAGGTCAGAAGGCACCCAAGGCTGAGATTCCTGTGGAAGTGTCTCTAACCTTAGATGATTATTAAACACATTCGTCTGAGTGATTCCCCAGAGACCCTTGGATTTATCAAAAGAGAAATTGTTGGCCATATTTAGTGAACATGTACTAGGTGCCAGGTACTATGCTAGGTACTGGGGATACTGTGGTGGACAGGTCAGGATTGTCTCTGGCTTTTTGGAGCTTACTGTCTAGTCTGAGAATGTCCATAGAGTGCTGCTCAAATTGGCCACAGTGATGGATGGGTGACAGGGAAGATGAAAAAATGGACTTTGTATGCCATATCACTGAGTCAGGAGTGGAGATGACAGGGCCTGTGGATAACATGGACTAACCGTGGACTTCTTCCCAACCCCTTTGCAGAAATCTTATGGCGAGAATGGGAGGATTTCTCCACTCAGCTAGACGCTCAGGGTCTGGAGGCAGGGGATGGCCCTCAGTTCCAGTTCACTCTGATGTCCTATAACATCCTGGCTCAGGACCTGATGCAGCAGAGCTCAGAACTCTATCTGCATTGCCACCCGGACATCCTCAATTGGAACTATCGCTTTGCGAATCTCATGCAGGAATTCCAGCACTGGGACCCCGATGTGAGTGAAGACAGGGGATGTGCCACTTTGCATTTGCTATGGACCTGGGCTGTTTCCCAGTGCTCTTGGAAAATGAGTTCAATCCCATGGTGGTCTGTATGATTGGAGTCTTGCCTGGGGCTGGTGCTGGCCTGCCTGCTGTAAATGAGTTTTTGGCAGATGCTTAGACTCCATAGGTGCACACTTTCCAGCACCTTTATGCGGGGAGGGAGACTTGAAGGATTCAAGGAGCAGGAAAATTGAGCACATGTATCTGGTCTCAGTGTAAGTCTGGGCATGTTCTTGCTGGTGGTGTCTGTCTGAGAAGAGTCAGCACCCAGGGGAAGTTTCAGTGTGACCCAGCCTGAGAGCCACAGCAGCTTCTCACACGGCCTCCGTGCCTGCTCCCGGGGTGTACCCACCATTACTCTGGAGTGATTGGTTTCCTTGTTTTCCCAGATCTTGTGTCTCCAGGAAGTCCAGGAAGATCATTACTGGGAACAGCTGGAGCCCTCTCTGCGAATGATGGGTAATGCTGCTCCCTGGCATGTTTGCCAGTCTTTCTTCCTACAGCCCTGTCTGCTCACTCCTGAGATCTTTCGTCTCAGTAAACTCTCAGTCCCACCTGTGAGCTAACTCCTTTGTGTGGGTGAGAAGGAAAGTAGAGCCTGAAGTTTTAAAGCAATTCTGACATGTATTGCCACTTAATCCTTGATGTGACCAACCCTGTGAGACTGAATATTATTATCCCCATTTTACAACGAGGAAACTGAGGTTCAGAAAATTTGTGTGACGGGCTCAAGTTCACAAAGCTATAAAGCTCATAGGTTGTGGGGCCTGGACTCCAACTTGCTTGACTCTAGAGTCCATGCTTTTCCTGCCCAGTTAACATTGCTTTGTACCCTTCTGTCCCTCCTTCCCCTTCTATCCACTCAGCCGCCTGGTTACAGCTGTAAGGGAACCTCTGTAGAACCAAGGAATTGGCAAGGGCCAGGACTCCCCTGACTGCACAGGAGGAGCAATGCTTTAGGCACACACGCCTGGGCTACGGCCACTGGTTGGAGGGATTCAGGCTTCAGGAACTCTAACGCATCTCCTTGGTGGGTGTTCCTTGCAGGCTTTACCTGTTTCTACAAGAGGAGGACCGGGTGTAAGACAGACGGCTGTGCTGTCTGCTACAAGCCCAAGAGATTCCGTCTCCTCTGCGCCAGCCCTGTGGAGTACTTTCGGCCTGGCTTAGAGCTCCTCAATCGGGACAACGTGGGCTTAGTGTTGCTGCTGCAGCCACTAGTCCCAGACGGCCTGGGGCAGGTTTCAGTGGCTCCCTTATGTGTGGCAAATACCCATGTCCTGTACAACCCACGCCGGGGTGATGTCAAGCTGGCCCAGATGGCCATTCTCTTGGCTGAAGTGGACAAAGTGGCTAAGCTGTCAGACGGCAGCCACTGCCCCATCATCTTGTGCGGGGACCTGAATTCTGTTCCTGATTCACCTCTTTACAACTTCATCAGGGATGGAGAGCTCCAGTACCATGGGATGCCGGCCTGGAAGGTAAAATGGGAGAGGTCACTGTGGGGGTGGGAACACAGCCTGGGGAGAGATTTGGGTGTTGGCATCCAGTGCTCTTCTGTGGCAGGGACCTCAGTTACACCTTTTCTGGCTCCCTCCTGCTTTTTCTAGCTCTGTTGATGGCTGGTACCCAAGCCTGGAAATTAGAAGCTCGTGAGTGCCTTTGGTATATTGGAATCCTTTAAGTTTTTATCATCAATTTATTTTTAGTTTACAAGTACATAAGTACTTAAGTGCATATAAGTACACAAGTACATCACTGTAAGAATGAAAAGATTTAAAAACAAGACCAAAGCCCCCTTCGTTACCTACCTTTCCCACTTCTCCCCTTAGAGTCAAGTAATAACTGTTCAAAGTTTGGTGTTCTTCCAGATCATTTCCTATGCATTTGCAGTGGTATCTAAGCTCCTGTGACAATGTAATCATAATCCACATTTGTTAAGCAAAATTAACTGTGTACCAGGTGCTACTTTAAGCACTTTATATGTATTAACTCATTAATTTTCACAATTTCTATCATTGCTTCCATTTTATAAATGAGAAATGTAAGGCATAGAGAAGTAATTTGCTTACTCCAGCTCACGCAGGTAGTTAGTGGTGGAGACAGAATTTGTAACCGGGTTGTCTGGCCCCAGAGCTCTTGCCCTCCAGTACTGTGCTGTGATTGCTTCTAACAGCGGATATATAATTTACCTTGTGTGTTTATAAACATGATATATTATTGTATATTTTATTTTGTAGCTCGGTTTTTTTTTCACTCAACAATGTACATATGGATCTGTCTCATTCCTTATAACTGCTGAATGTTGATAGCATAGCTATAGTTTTACCGTAGTTTATTTGTCCCTGCTGATGATGGGCATTCAGCCTGTGCTGATTTCTTTATCTGTCACTTACTCTCTCCTTGTTCCTCTGTTTTGCCCCTACTGATCCAATTTATTGCTCAACTTTTGGCAAGACACAGTGGAGAAAGGACACCAAATGACTGAATTATTGTTAAGTACTTGGGGCTTTTATTTTAATGAGGTTACTCAAGTGCCAATGATGTCCTGGTTACCACATGCTCAGAGAAAAGCATTATCCTGCCAGGAAGCTGCTGTAATCAAGGGGCACAGGGAATGGAAAGAAGAGTTTACTAAGTGCCTATCATGTGACAGCCGCAGTTAGGCGTAGTGATTAAGAGCACTCATTTTGAAGCCAGACAGTCCTGCATTTAAATCCCTGCTCTGCCACCTTGGGCAAGTTACTTCACTTTTTTAAGTCCCATTTGCCTCATATATACACTGGGGATATAATGGGACCTACTTCAGAGGGTTTTCTTTGGTGGATTAAGTATAATAATGCACACAAAGTGTTTTCCAGTTCCTACTTCAAAGGAAGCAGTCAATAATTGGTAGTGGTTATTGTTATCAAGATTCTTAATTGTATGTGGTATTATTATCCCATTCAATAGTAGAGGATAATTGACCCCAAGAGAGTTAACTAACGGGCCCAAAGTCACACAGCTAGTAAATGGCGATAAAATTGCAGCTGCGTTTGACTTCCGAGGGCATATTGAAAATGTACGTCCTTCAAGGGCAGAGACATTGTGTCTGTCACTCCTCTCTCCCCAGCACTTAGCTAGTGTCTTGCACATAGCTGACATTCAAATATTTGTTGCTGTTAAATTAAATAAAAGGGATTTTGCTACACACGTTGGGGATCTGCAGATGACTGATGTTGCCGAACGTTTCCCTACTGTGTTCTGTCCGTTCCCAGGCTGCTCATTGGCTTTGCCCGAGGATGGTGACATAGATACTCTAGAGTGCTTTGCTGCATTTCCCATTTGGTTTGACCCTGTAGCTTCTGAATAATAGGCTTAAGATGCTAGACTTGGATCCAGAAGACCCAAAGATCAGGGTAAACCTTTTCTTATTGCAAATTAAAGTCCCTGAAAATTGATATTTCAGTACAGAGTAGTGTAGATTGTTCTGAGGTGAAATTTAGGGGATCATATGTTCATACGGTTTTGTTCTCTTTGACTCGCATACCTCACTGTCTTGCCCCTTATTCCTGTCTCATGGACATTTCAGTGTTTCTAGTAAAAAAAAATAGTGGTTTTAATTAGCTCCTTATTTTTAACCTTCCCCTGAAACTCATGTATTTTGCTTATTATTATGTACATAGTACGTGATTGTGTGTGTGTATGTTTGTCTATATGTCCAAAAACATGGGCTATTTCTTTTTTCCATCTTAGTCTCCTGATTCCCATCTGCTCTTTCTTTGTAGGTATCTGGACAGGAAGACTTCTCCCATCAGCTTTACCAGAGGAAGCTGCAGGCCCCCCTATGGCCCAGCTCCCTGGGCATCACTGACTGCTGTCAGTATGTCACCTCCTGTCACCCAAAGAAACAAGGTGAGCACATGCCACATTCTGGGTTAGTTGTGCCTCCATCCCCATTTTGGGAAAAAGCTAGCATCTCAGTGACAAGAGAAAGTGTAATTCTCTCAGTTCTCTTAGCACATTCCTTTGTTTTTCTCATTGTCCTTCTCATGGTCACCCAGTAAAATGGACCACTTTAATTCATAGCTGTTGGAAAATCTCCTTGTCTTCAGAGCCAGACTTCCTCTGTGTCCCTACACTGGAAGCTTCTTGGTATTAAGGAAGCCTCAGCATGTGGCTCCTCTTCCTTCCTTTCACTGTATGCCTTTTCCTGGTTTGCAGAGAGACGTAAGTATAGCCGAGACTTCCTACTACGTTTCCACTTCTGCAACATCGCCTGTCAGCGACCTATAGGACTGGTGCTTATGGAAGGAGTGACAGATGCTAAGCCAGGTAATGGGAACTAAGATTTCCTTGGTCTTCTTTCCTCTTCACCTCTGATATTTGTCAGTTAGGTGGTTTCTTAGTCTTTTCTAGATATAATTCTTAGAGATCAGCTTCTGGTAATAAGTATGCTTAGAAGGAAGGTCAGTGGAGTTCACTGGCCATGTGCAGTGTGTTGAGAGTATGGACCAGGAATCAAGAGACCTGGGTTCTGACCAGCTCTGAGACCTTGAGTAAGCCACTTAACCTTTTTAGGCTTAAGTTGCTGATAACTAGCATGTGTACAGCATATTTGGAGAGAAGACATATGATAGGGCTTTGAAAATCATAAAGTGACATCACTCCTGGTTGTAATAAAAAGTTACTCCTACTGAGAACTTCCAGATTGTACATAGAAGAGTATACTTGGCATTCTCCCTTTCTTGTCTCTGAAACCACTCCAAAGCAACAGGGAAGAATGGAAGAAAGAAATGCAAACTCCATCTTTGAGAAAGCTAGGAGATCTGAAGATATCTGAAACCATGAGCCAAAACACAGGTGGAATGGCTGCAAGAAGCACTGGAGATCATGCAGGGGTGCTGGAGGAAGTATGGAGACACTTGTCTGTGGGGCCATATGGATCTTGGAAAAAAACCAGCAGAGTGTATTTCTCCAAGGTGAGGATTGTACCTTGAGGCTCAAAACCAAAATCTCTTGTTTCATCAACAAGAATAGGATGTACAGGTTGTGAAAGGAGATTGTCTGAACCTGTTTTGGTCTGAAGAGGCAGTGGAGGCAAGACTGATCAAGGAATCAAGCCATATTCGCATGAAGCAGTCTGTTTAAGTGGCAGGGGAGAGATGAAATAGTTACAGAGCTGTGTATCTTTTTTGGTTGGGAGAAGTAAAGATTAAAAGGATTCATATACAACCCTGTGTCACAAGGAAAATGCCTATTACTTGTAATGCATACCCAGTCCTTCCCTTATATAAGTTTTGTACAAATGCATGGTACAGAAAAACCTCAACTAATTCAAAGCTGGGCTGCCCAAAAGGAATCAGTATGAGATCTGTACTAAAACACTATAAGAAAAAAAGGTGGAAGGAACAGGAAAAATAACAGGCAGATAAAAAATATTTACTTCAAAAATAAAAATTGTTGCCATGGAGCATATGAAAATTATGATTATTTTCCCAAGATTAAAAATACTAAGCAATTGTCTTTATAAAATAAGAGCACAAAAATAAAATAATTGCGTTTATAAAGTAAGTTCAGGCACATGAAAAGACATCAGAAGATGAAATGTAAGCTGCAGAGCTCAGGAAAGAAGCGGAATGAAAATTTAAAAGTCATATAAAATGAAGACAAAATTAGATGCAGCACAAGAGAGAATAGGCACTGCTGAAAACAAGACAGGAGACAGAGGCTAGGAAGGATAAGAAGGGCTAGAGAGAAAATGACCGTAGAGGAAGATGAGATTCAGCATACACGTAATTGGAGTTCACAAGGAAGAAAGCCAATATAGTTGCACAAAAGGAATATTTAAAGGTATGATTCAAGGAAGATTTTTCCCAAATGAGAAGATCTGAATCTTCAGATTGAGAAGGATGTCTCATGTCTCAGTAAAAAATGTCATAGGAGAATCAACAGTAAGACACCCTAGTTAAAGTTAACAGAAGTCAAAGATAAAAGAATACTTAGGGCATTTGAACAAAAAAGATCAGGCTACTTTTAAGGGTAGAAATAATTACTTTGGCTTCAGACTTCTTAACATTAACATTTGACTCTAGAAGACAGGGGAGCAAGGCTTTAAGGAAAGAAGGTGTGGCTCAAGAATTTTATACAAAACCCAAAGCCTTTCTTGAAGAAACTGCTAGAAGAATAACTTAAGACAATCAGGCAATGATTGGAAAAACTATAGTAAAAGGATTGGTGGTAAACTATGGACTCATTCTTTTCCCTCTAGGAATTTAACTTGAAATGGTATTTTGCACAGAGCAGTGAACATTTCAATGGCTCGAGTTTTTTTAATTGCAAAGCTAAATGTATTATTACAGCTGTGGCGATAACAATAGTAATGATGATGGCCACCATGCAGTGAGTGAGCCACTAGGGTGTGCCAGGACCTGGGATAAGTGCTTGTATCAGTTGGGCTTAGGCAGGGAAGCAGAGGCTCAGTATTTTAAGAATACAAAATCCTAAAGTTAAACAGTAGTCAGATCCCACATACATAATTTCATGTTAACAATAGGTTATTTTTAAAAAAATCAGTACTGTACTTGAAACATAAAATAAGCATTTCAATTTAATAAGAAAATAAAAACCTTTAAAATACATACTGACAATCACTTTGTAAGTAGAATCATTGTGTAGCGGGAAAATACCCAGTTCACTGGCAGTGCCTAGTAATACCAATATTTTAAAAATTGAGATTAAATTTGGGTAAACACACCATCCACCACTCACTGTGAACATGCCCTTCTGTTTGTTCAGTAACCCCACCCAGGGCTGAACAGGCTCCTGATGAATCTCTTTTAAAGACTCCAAATCTAAAAAGCTACCACCACCTTTAGACCATGAGTAGAAAGACTTAAGTACGAAACAAGGAGATCATGGTGTATGATCTTTTTTCTAGAGAATGTGTTCAGATGTGCTAACAAATAGTATTTCCAGTCCAATATGAGAGTCATCCAACCCAACTGTGCACATCAAAACTTGCCAACTTGACTGTGACACTGACTTCAACGAGAAGCATCTGAGTTTCAAAAGGAGCTACAGTGCTAGGAAGTAATGGTTTAACTTTCCCACGGATTGACATTGCATCGCACTGGAGTGTTCTACATTCATAAATTGTATAATTTAAAAAACACTATGCTTCTCACTCTCCCCAGCTCTCTTTATGAGGGAATAATTCATAAGAAGGGAATCTAAATTTTAAGCCCCCCTCTTGTAAATTATTTTAGTTATTCGTGGTTTCTTTCCAATATGATTCTTAAAGACACTGAAAGGGATTACTGTCTTTTCTTTTTCATGATTGTTTGCATATTTCCATTTATCTCTGGAGTTTTTAACATGTAAGAATAAACCATATGCCCAATTAAGTGCATTCTAGGAAAAAAAAAAGTTGCTAATAGGTGACTTTTGTAAATCACTATTTATAGACAGACCAGATAGCCACAGAGGAAAAGTTATATGGTCATATTTGTAACCAGGAAAGTTCTGAATCCAACTTCTCCACTGGCCCATCCCTGACACAACTTACTATCCTCTTCCCAGTTACTTGCAGAAGAACTTACTTGCTTGGCTGCTACCAGTGCTGAATGGTCCAGGAAGATGTTGCAGCTGAGGTTGAGGCAGCTATGGCCCATGGCTCACGTGGCCTGGTGGGGCAGGGAGAGGCCTTGAGTCCTGTGTAACTGCCAGAGCAGTGCTGTTTGTACATAGCACTGCGTGGGCAGAACCTGGTGTTGAGGGAAGCAGTTTTCTTTCTTTCTTTTTTGATTTTCTTTTCATGTACTGAAAACAAACCAAACCAAACAAAACAAAAAAAGCCTTTATTTTTTATCCTCATACTTCTATAAAAATTTGGTAAGTATAAAGGTCTAGTTTGAAAATTGATTTAGTCCATTGTCTTGCAGTTTCCAGCATTGCTAATGAGAAGTCTGCTGCCATTCTGAGTTTTCATCCTTTCTTTGTTTCTCCTTCTCTCTAATCTCTTGATTTCTGAAATTTCATGGTGGTGTGCCCTAGTCTGCGTTTTGGTTTCATTCATTGTTCTGGATACTCCAGGGCTCTTTCAAATGGAAATGAATTTATTTAGATTCATAATTTTGCTGGTAATATTTCTTCAATAATTTCCTACCTTCTGCTTTTTCTTTTTGGAGTTCCTATTAGTTGAATATTAGAATGGACCATCTGTGAGATGTTCTCAGGTTGTTTATTCCTTCTAGTGATTTTAAATTTCTGCCCGTATATTTTTAATTTCCAAAAGCCCTTTTAAAACAGTTGCTTCTTTTGTTATACCATCCTTTTTTTTTTTTAAATGAACCCAATATTGTCTTCCTACTACTGAGGATGACATATGTAAAAATTCCATGTATTTCTTCCAAGGTTCTTTTAAGAGTTCCTTTCTTCCCAGTTTCCACCCCATTCATTGTTTGTTCTCAAAGATTCCATCAGGCATCCATTCACATTTAGGAATGAGACGTGAAAACCTGATTAAGGCTCTGTGTAAGGGATGTCTCTGGTTGATTGGTGAGTTTATTGTGCCAGTTTTGATTTTCACCTCTCTCCTGTCTTCTGGAGTAATGGTGCCTCTGATTCCTGACCCCTTACACAGCTCAGAAGCCTAAATTGGCTTGCCTTTTGCTGGGAGGAAAACCATTTTCAGTATCCTGCTAGTCACTGTGATTTTTCTGACTCAAAATGAAGATGTTAGTGTTAAGAACATTTATGTTCCAAGTAACATCACATTAGTCATCACAGAGTGAAACCCTCGTATTTAACAAGGAATAATAGAAAATAGCTAGAGGTAGAAGGTTTGAATCTTTCTCAGTCCACAAGAAAGCAAGTAGAGGAAAGATAACTAAGAATATAGAAGACTTAAGTAACATGTTGTATGGTAAATCTGATTGATACATATCAAATTCTGAACATTGAAAGCAGAGCAAAGACATCTTTCTAATTATCCATAGGAAATTCTTAAGAATTGATCATATATTAGACAACCCCCGAAAAATCAATAAATTTAGAACAGTGGAAATAGTGTAGTTAGCTTTCTGTGATCACATGTGCAGTAAAAATTCACATTGAAAACAAAAATGAAAACACTTATTATCTGGACCCTTAAAAAAATTTCAAACCACATTTGGGTCAAAGGTGAAATTTAAACTGAAGCTGCAGAATATCTATAAAATAACTAATGAAAATATCATATATTTGTGATATATAGCTAAAACAGTATTTAGTGAAAAATTCATTGCATTATATAGAACATTTAGAATCATAGAATTATATTAATAGATAAGAAAAGATGAAAGTAAGTGAATTAAGCATCCACTCATGTTAGAAAAAAGAACAAATAAACTGAAAGAAAGCCAAAGGGAAGAAGACTAAAATGGAAATAATTTAGGAAAAGAAAAATAATAAAACTAATAAACTATAATAACAGTCGTTTTTTTGGTTGAAAAACAGATGTCAGATTAGCTAACCTAGTCAAGAGGGTGAGGGAGGAGCAACAGTATCCAGATGCAGAAGAATTATGGTATTATAAGGTAGTTCTTTTCTCAATGGAATGCAAAAGAAATTTAAAACTTAGATGGCATATATTAATTTTAGAAAATGTAATTTACTAAAACTGTAAAGGAGAGATTTAATATAAATAGACTATCACAGGGTGAAAAAAATAGAAAAGGTTCTCAGAGATGCAGTCCCACAAAAACGCTAGGCTCATATTGATAGAAGAGCATCATCAAACCTTTAAAGAACTCGTAATTCCATTACTATTTAAATTGTTACAGCATGCAGAGGAAGAGGATGGCCAAATTATTTTTATGAAACAAGCATTTTGAAACTAACACCTGACAATAATTACACAGAAAAAGGAAACTATAGAAACTAATATTAGGAAACTAATATTCTCCACTTAGGAATATTGATGCAAAAAATATAAATAAAGGATCAGGAAACAGAATCTAACATCACATTGAAAGAGTAATAGACCATGACCAAATGGACTTTTATCAATATAAAAATAGTCAATATTGGGAAATCTATTAATATAATTTATCATGTTAATATATATGAAATCTGTTAAAATATAGAAATGCGTATCATCCTACAGATGTCAGAGACATTTTAAAAAATTAACATCTATCCCAGATTCTTTGAAAAAGAGTCTTCTTAAACTAAGAAAAAAATAGATTATCCCTTACACCATTAAAATACATTTATCTCCATCAGTCAGACTAGGGGCGTTGGTGCACTGTGGAGGGAGGGGCATGGAGCTGCCAGGTGCCTGAAAAAAAAATTTATCTCAACTCCAAAAATGAACATCTTGCTTAAAGAAGACACTCTAGTAGCATTCCTGTCAAAGTCAAGAGCAAAACAAGGATGACCACTATGATTATTCATTTGTGAGAAATACTAGCCAACAGAATTAGAAGTAAAAAATAGAAATATAGGCAATAAAATAGAAGTGAAAAAATGGAGAGGAGGTTAAATATTACTTCTTGCTAATGTGGTTATATAACTGGTGATCTAAGAATCAACTAAGTAGCTGGGCAGAATATTAATATACAGAAATCAATAATATTCATATATAAAAATGATATATTTGTTAAAAATTGTAATAAAGACCTCATTCATAATAGCAGCAGAAAGAAAAATTAATACGGAAAATATAAGAACATTTCATCTTGATTAGCAAACTTACTGGCATGAAGTTGTTCATAACATTCTTGAATCTTTTTTTAAAAAACAGTTTTATTGAGATTGATTTCACATACCATAAAATGCATCCATTTAAAGTGTACAAATCAGTGGGTTTCAGTATTTTCAGAGTTGTACAACCATCACCACAATCTAATTTTAGAACATTTTCATCACCCCCGAGAGGAAGCCCATGTCCATTAAAAGTCATTTTCCATTCACCCCTCCCCTTGTGAAAAATCAGTTAACCATGGACTATGGGTTCTGGACTCTCAAGTTCCCTTCATCTTGCGTCGTTTATCTTTATGCCAGTGCCATACTGTCTTGATTATTTTAGCTTTGTGTAAGTTTGAAATAGAAAAGTGTAAGTCCTGTAACTTTGCTGCCTTTTTTTTTCTTTCTCAACATTATTTTGGCTATTCTGGGTCCCTTATACATTTTTATATGGGTTTTAGGGTCAATGTGTCAATTTATGCAAAAACATTAGTTGGAATTTTGACAGGGATTTACAAATTTGTAGATCAATTTGGGAAGTGTTGCCACTTTAACAATATTATTATCAATGAACATGAAAATCTTTTCATCTATTTAAATCTTTAATTTCTTTCCATGTTTTGTAGCTTTCAGTGTCTAAGTCTTACCCTTCTTTTGTTAAATTTATTCATAACTATTTTAAATCCCTTTTGATACTATTATAAATGGAAATGTTTTCTAAATTTCATTTTTGGATTTTTCATTGTGAGTGTTTAGAAATGTAATTCAGTTTATCAATCTTGTATCTTGCAATCTTGTGAACTCATTAGTTCTAATAGTTTTTTAGCAGATTTCTTAGGATTTTCTGTATATAAGATTATGTCATCTTGCAAATAGAAATAGTATTACTTCCTCTGTTCCAATCTGGATGTGTTTTATTTCTTCTTCCAAGATGGCTGTAGCTAGAACTCTCATTACCATGTTGAGTGGTGGGACATAACAAAAGGCATCTTCTCACTCTTTACGCTTAGGAAATTCCAAGGGTTTGGGGAGCTTTGAGCCAGGAACTGTGGAAGGAGACTGACTATATAAAGACTGATTATATATGAGAAATGTATTTTGTTCATCTGAATGACCAAATATATATTTCTTATAAATTACAGTATTGTAAATGTTGAGGAATTTTGCATCTACATTCATAGGGGGTATCAGTCTGTAGTTTTCATTCTTGGTGATGTTTTTGTCTAGTTTTGCTATCAGAGGAAAACCTGATAGCATGAGTTGGGAAGTGTTCCCACTTTTATATTTTGGAAGTGTTTGTGAAGGATTCATATTATCTCTTCTTAAAAATGTTTAGCAGAATGCACCAGCAAAGCCTCTAACCTTGGGCTTTTCTTTGTGGAGATTTTAAATTGCTAATTCAGTCTCTTTAATTGTTATAAGACTATGCAGATTTTCTACTTTTTCTTGAGTCAGTTTATGTAGTTTGTATCTTTTTAGGAATTTTACCTAAGTCATCTGATTTGTTGGCATACAGTTGTTTATACTATTCTTGTAATTTTTTATTTCTATAAGGTTGATGGTGATGGCCCCCTCTTTCATTCCTGGTTTTAGTAATTTGAGTCCTCTCTCTTTCTCTTGGTCATTCTTTTTTTTTTTTAATTTTTAAATTGAAATACAGTCAGTTACAATGTATCAGTTTCTCATGTACAGCACAGCACAATGGCCCAGCCATGCATATACATACATATATTCCTTTTTATATTCCTTTTCATTAAAGGTTATTACAAAATATTGAACATAGTTCCCAGTGCTATACAGAAGAAACTTTTTAAAAAATCTACTTTTGTATACAGTGACTAACATTTGTAAATCTGAAACTCTCAAGTTTATTCCTTCCCACTCCATTTCCCTGGGAACCGTAAGATTGTTTACTATGTCTGTGAGTCTGTTTCTGTTTCGTAGATAGGTTCATAGTGTCCTTTTGGTCATTTTAGCTAAGGGTTTGTCAATTTTGCTGATCCTTGTTACCCTGTTTTCTTAGTCAGTTTGGGCTGTTATAACAAAATACCACAGACTGAATGGTTTATAAACAACAGAAATTTATTTCTCACAGTTTTGGAGGCTAGGTGCCAGCGTGGTCCAGTTCTGGTGAGGGCCTTCCTCTGGCTTGCTGACTGCCAGCTTCTTGTGTCCTCACATGGCAGAAAAAGGGTGAGAGAACTCCGTGGGATCTCTTTTATAAGGGCACTAATCCCATTCGAGGGCTTCACCCTCATGACCAAATTACCTCCTAAAGGCCCCATCTCTGAATGTCATCACATTGGGAATTAGGATTTCAACATATTTTGGGGGATACAAACGTTCAGTCCTTAACACCTATTAATGTCAGTAGGGTCTGTAATAATATCCCTTTTTTCTCTTCTGATATTGGTAATGTGTGTCTTTTTTCTTTGTGTATGTGTCTGTATAAATATATGTATGTGTAAATATGCATACATATATGTGTATGTGTGTGGCAGACATATATATGCATACATACATAGATATGTATACACACACAATCGACGGTGTGTGTGTGATAGAAAATTCCTGGTGGAGGAATACAGCAGGAATCTGGTAACATTTGTCGCCTCTGGAGAAGATAATTGAGTGGCAGGGGCCCAGAAGTGGGAGGGAGACTTTTCACTGGTATTTTTCTCTACATTTTGATTTTTGTACTGTGCAACCTATTCTTTTCTTCTTCTCCCTCTTTTGTATTATCTATTCTAAAGAATAAATTTTAATTAAAAAAAAAAGATGCTGAGCCAAGGAAGACATGTCTGTGTTAGAGGCTTCTGTCTGCTTCCTGAGTTCTTGGCTTGGTCCATTGTTCCCTCCTCTCACCTTTTCTCTTTCCCTTTTCCTTTCTGGAGCAGTCCAGTCCAGGATTTGAGCGGAATTTTAGGGTGCAAGGTTCTGACCCTGCTTCACCGTCTGTGACTGATAAAACCCTTTCTCTCCTGTCTTCTGAAGAGCGACCTGCTGGCTGGGCTGAGTCTGTCCTTGAGGAAGACACATCGGAGCCTGAGCATGACTTCCCCAGGTAATCTTCCAGTTCCTTTCTGCTTTCATTCTAACCCCATTTAGGCATCTTAGAGAGATTCCTGTTGGCTTTTCTGGGGCTGATTTGGGGCAACACTTTTTGCTGAGCCCTCTTTTCCCCTAATACCTGCTAAGGTTATGGAGGGGCATACAGGTGTGCAGAGGCCAGAGGTGACCCATCCAAGTTCTTGCAGATGAAAAGCCCATGCACTTTTCCTTAGGGAGTAAGACCTCACAGAAGAGCTTGCTGACGCACAGACAAGAGTACTTTAAAAATGATTATGAATCAATAAAAAATGTAAAAAAAAAAAGAGTACTTTAGGTACACTGCACCAGGTAGCAAGAGAGTGCAGAGTGAGGGATGTCAGCAAGACTGCATGTAAGTGTGTCTGTTTCTAGGCTAGTTCTAGCTAAGACTGTTAGCCTCTTATTAGCATGGGAAAGAATTTGCTGAGATTTAGTTATTTGGGCTCATCCCTTTAAAAACTTATTAAAACCCACAGGGAAAAGTTCAATAATGTTTTGCTGACTAACATCTTTCCCTCTATCCCTGCAGGACTGTAGGCACCATCCAGCACTGCCTCCACCTGACCTCAGTATATACTCATTTCCTGCCCCAGCATGGCCGCCCAGAGATCACCACAATGCCCCTGGGTCTTGGAATGACAGTAGATTACATCTTCTTCTCGGCTGAGTCCTGTGAGAATGGAAACAGAACTGGTAAGCCTGGTGGATCCTGGGTTCCCAGAAGCTACCCCCAAAAGTCCCTGGGAACAGCTGATGGTAGGTCAGACATTGGGCACATGGCTTGGGCTGCTGGGGTCTGACCAGCTAAGGAGCAGATTTCATACCTACTTGACACGTGCTTACCTTCTATCTTTATCCTTGTAGCATTAGAGAGATGTGAGCAGAACAAGCCCTCCCTTTAATTCAGAGAGGAAACTAGAGTACCAGGGGGTGATCGGATTTGTTCAGTGGCAGGTGGTTAGTGAGGGACTTAGTTAGGTTAGAGACGTTATTTCCTGTCTTCTCACCCCACACTGTAGTCACAGAGTAGCAGTCTATCAGCCCCATGCCTGTTTTGTGTAAAGCATGTCTTTCAATGTATTTGAATTTTATGTTTAAAAATCAGATTTTATATAGAAAATCTGGATTCGCAGCTTCTCTTGGAAAGCCAGAATGTTTGGAATGCTGCGCCTGGGCATGCATTCTCTAGTTTGCCACAGTCCCCCTGAAACCAGTCTGCTTCATTCATTGATATGTCACGGAGTATCTGAGAAAATGAGGCCTCAGCCAGAGGCAGCAGGAGACAAGGGGGTGGGGGCAGCCCAGGGGCTGAGGCTCCACAAGGCATAGCTCACACAGGGCCCGCCCGCCCTGCACAGTGTGGCTGTGGCTGCTTTACCCACGGGCTTCTGCTTTGTGCTCCAGATCGCAGGCTGTATCAGGATGGAACTCTCAAGCTCCTGGGCCGTCTCTCCCTCCTCTCTGAAGAGATTCTCTGGGCTGCCAATGGCTTACCCAACCCCTTCTGCTCTTCAGACCACCTCTGCCTACTGGCCAGCTTCGGGATGGAAGTCACCGCCCTGTGACGGGCTCCCAGGGCAAGAGAGCTTTTCCAGAAGAGCTCACAGGATCAGAGACTGTGGAAATACCCCATGCTTCTGGAAACTTAGATCCAAGACACTTATGTCCCTTCCCCTTCCCCTCTTTGTTCCCTTTTCCCCATGGTTAGATTTTCTCCAGGCCTGTCCACATTCTCTGCCTGTGGTCCCTGCTCTGCCCCAACCTCTTCCTAATCCTGTGCCACATACTTGGTGGCCCTGGGAGAGGCAGAAGGGGAGGTTCCCCCTTCCTTCCATGTATCCAGCACTCCCCCTTGATTTTTAATTACCAGGGTTGCGGGAGCTATTGATCTCATTGATTATTTGTTTTCAGGTGGTTTCTTGGTGGTGCCTTCTGACCCGACCTTCTCCCTGCCTGAGACCTCTGGGCCCAGCCCTCTTGCCAGACGTACACATGTGAGATGTGTGTCATGTGTATGCGTCCTCTGAGGGTGGGACTACTCTGTGGCCATGCCTGCCTCTGACTAGCCCGCTTACCATACTAGGGCTGTCGGCCTAGGGGCAGGCGGAAGGCACAATCTGGTAGCTGTGTGCCACCAGGCAGCAGGAGGGACATGGGCCCCTTCTCTCCTTTTACCTTCTGTTTCATTAGGTGTTCATCCTGCCAAACAGGGCACACTCATCTGGGAACAAATAGGCCCCACGACCTGGAGCAGCAGATCCAGGGATGTACTCCCTGCCCCAGCAGCCTCCGAGCCTCTGACCCAGAGCTCCCCACAGGCCTGGCATGCTTTCTCTAGGGCTCGTCCCTTTCCCCAGGCTGCCCTGTGGAAGGCAAAAGTTTGAACTCCTGTGGGGGGGGGTGTCAGTGGACATGGATAGTGGTATGATGTTCAAAATTCTTTAAGGATGAGGATAAAGACCTGTCAGGAGACTCCTGTCTTCCAGGGCCCTGCAGCCCGCAGGCCTGGGCAAGGGTGGGGGTCCCAGTGGGGGGAGAGTGGCAGGTGCTGCAGCGGCCTCAGCTGGAGCTCAGGACCTCAGGGGCTTGTTCTCTTGCCTCCGCACACCTCGGCCGCGGTTCTCTGTTCCTCTGCTCCCCCTGCTTTTTACTTTTGCTGCCTCCTCCATTCCCTTCCTTTTTCCCCTAGAAAAGCCTGGTATTTAGCTCAGGTTAAGCCTTCTCAGCAGAAAGGTAGCCTTGGGCAAAAGTAGCCCAAGAACTGGAGGTGGTGGTGCTTGAGGATTGGCTCCAGCTGGCAGTGCCGTGGCTGCTCGCTGCCTCTGCTTCCCCTCTCCTGGCACACACACGTCACCTGCATGCCTTAATCTTTTATTGCTGGGTGTGGTCTTGGGTGTTCCTGGGCCAGCTCCTCCTCACATCTGCCAAAATGCAGAGTAGCTGCTGGCCCTGCAGATTTGACTTGCTGTTGGCCCACTCAGCCTCCAGAAAGGGGCTGGAGGGAATGGCTGGAGTTAGGGACAGTTAGCCAGAGGTTAATGTTTTCTCTCTCTTTTTTTTTTTTTTTGAGAGCCAAAGAACCAGCTTGAATTCTGCTGCTGCATTCGTGGTTATAAGCTTTCCATGCCTAGGTTCTGGGGAATTTATCTATGCATGTATATTTTTAAACATTGTTTCCTGGGTACTGGGCATGTGCCTGTCTGAGCCCCAGGCCTGTCTGTCCACATCCCACCATCCACTGTTTGTCTTTCCCTGGGCATCTCCTGAGATGATCTCAAGATAGTGCCCTATTGGTTCCTAGGGCTCATCACTCTTCTCTTCTGCCAGGAAATGTAGTTTAAAAATGGCTAAATATGGCAGAGGACAGGAGCTTGATAGATGATCTTTTCCTTGTTATTTGTTTGTTTTGGAAATGAAAGGGGTTTTAAATGGTTACTTGAACTCTCTTTTCCAAATAAAGGTTTTCCTTTCCCCCTAACTGTTGGTCATTTTATTAGGATGTGGGAGAGGGAAGACCTGGAGAATGAGGTGGGCAGAGAGGAAGAGACTGATCCTGGGGTGGAGCCTCTTATCCTAGATCTAGACCAGAGAAATGGGTTGCCATCTCCCTCTGGTAATAGGCAGGTGCCCACTGCTCTGTGGCCTGGGAGGAACAGGGCTTTGAGCAAAGCCTCCTGCCCTGTTGGGGACATCTCTCTTTTCCATCCTCGCCGAGCTAGAGGAAAACAGCGCTTTGAGCTGCATTCATTCTTCCTCCATCTGCTGCCCCCATACCTCCCCTGTCTGAACTGAGCTGCATTTCAGGAGGGTCTGTGCCAAAAGCGGGGCGTGAAGTGTGTTCCCGGTCAAAGCTTCAGCAGCTGCATGAGTCATGATGTGTGTGGCAGATGCCTCTTGCTGCGCGTCTATTTCTAATCATCTCTTGCATTCTGGAGCCAGGGCTGAGCTGTGGGCCATCTGTTGCTGGAAGGGTTTCTCTTCCTTCCTGGGCCTTACTCTGCTGGGACTTCTGCCTTCCTCCAGCCTCTTATTCAGCAAGTCCAAGCCCCTGTGTCTGTGGGAAAAAGCCCTGAGACCAAGTGTGGTTTTCTACCTTACCTGAACAGAGTCCCAGATCCCACACCTCGGAATCAGTGTCTGGGAATCTGGATTATTTAAAGCTACCTGGGTAGCAGTTGAACCACCTGGGTTGGGATTCAGCAGAATGAAAATTTAGCCAGGGATTAGGAACACCACTTGTCATCTTGACCAGGTCACTTGGTGACTGTGGGTAAGTTAACCCCTCCCTATGTTTCAGTTCACATATCTTGGTGAAATGGAGATTAAAATAATATTCTTTTCCGCTTGTAAGGAAGTTTCAGATCTGAAACTACTTGTTTGGGCTTTGACAAGCAAGGGATGCTACAAATCCCAGAGTATTGTCGGTAATTACAGTAACTGGTAATTACTGCTAACAATTGGAAGTGAAGGTGGGTAGTTCTCCCCAGTCTGAACAACTGGCCGCTGGGAATTATTTTATAGCTCCTAAACTTTGAGGTGCATCCCCAGAGACCCCTTTCCTGGCCTGGAGGGCTTCCTCCCAGTGGGTGAGTCACACAGCATGTGCCTGGGACTTTGATGAATGGTTTCCAGAGCACCTCCACTTCCACTGTCACTAGACAGTGGCACTATGAGGTTGCTTTTCAGGTGTTCATATCTTACCTTTACATCTGGGGAAACGGAGACCCCAAAGAGGTAAACTGAGAATCTCCTTTGCTTTATTTCTTGCCACCCTAGCTCCTCAGAACACAGCCTTTTCTGGGAGTAGGAGAGAGGTTGTCCTGTAAGGCAGATAACTGGGCCTGGGCCTGGGCCTGGGAGAAGGGAAATGACTAACCAGACCACTGCTGGCTTGTTGTTCTGTTTTTAAATCCTGTTTTGTTCTTCTCTCCAGTTCTTGCCCTGGTGTAGCTACCAACTAGAGGACTGTTTCCTGATGGGTTACACAAAGCACAGTGTGGCTTCTCTTCTCCAGGAAGCAGGAGGGGCCCGCCTCCTCTAGTTGCCACCAGGGGGAGAACCGCCCTGTGGCCCTACAGTTCCACACTCGTCCAGGTGCACCACTCCTGCTGTTTCTCTCCCCAACAAATGGGCAAAACAAAACTGTCCCAGGCAAGGGCCAGCCAGATGAGAGCCTGGTAAGGTGCAGATCTCGCTGGGGTTAGGAGAGTGTGACCTCAATGCGTTTGGAAGGGAACTCCGACTTTTGCCCCATCCCTAGTCAGCTCCTGTGCCCAGAAGGCCCGAGCCCTTATGCAACTGTGGAGAAGGGTGGAGTCTCCACACTTAACATTCTTGGGGGTTTTGTCTTTCCCACGACTGAGTCCTTTCTGGCTGGGTGCTGGAGGGAGTGCACATTCCCATGTGGACTGTCCCTCAGCACACCTGAGGGGGCCCATCACCACCACCTGCCAGGCCTCAGCGGGCCCCTCACCCCCTTTGCAGACACTGTAAGGCTTACCAGGCAGCTCGCATCCTGGCCAGTTGGCTTGGTCTTCGGTATGACCATCACTTCCTGTCACTGCCCTTCACAGTAGTGGTCAAGATGTCAGATCCTGGCAGATGCGGCGCAGAGCTTCAACCTCTTCGTGCCCTCTGAGAGGTGCCACAGCATCCACGGGTCCAACCCATATCAGTCATGTGCCTAAATTAGGCAGGCACATGCTGTGAGCGTGGAAGAAGGGAGCAGAAGGAAATGGGGTAGGTAATCCCCCTGGTAAGCTGGGCTCTGGCCCTCGCAGGAGTCCAAAATGGCACTTAACCTCTGCATCAATTCTAAAAAAGTGGCTAAGTGGTGTCCGCGGTGAGCCTAGTTGACTCGTGACAGACTCGCCGTAGCACTTAACCAGCCCTCGTTTGTACAAGAGCAGTCCAGGGGCCCACCACGTATAAGCCCATCTCACTGAAGCCAAGCCACAAGGCCCTTTACCTGGTACTTTAGTGGGACTTAAAGTGTAAATTTTTTTTTTTTGAAGGGGAGGTAATTAGATTTAGTTGTTTATTTTTTGGAGGAGGTACTGGGGATTGAACCCAGGACCTTGTGCATGCTAAGCATGTGCTGTACCACTTGAGCTATACCCCCCACCCCGAATGTGTAAATTTAACACTGCCTTTGTGTAAAGGTGTATAGTCCAAGTTATTCAAAAACTCTGGGTTACCTTTATTGAAAGCTGTTTTTTGGTATTGTTTAAGCTGGATTTAAATGAATCTATAAATAGCATAACTGCCTCTATTTAATGGTATACAGTCCAAGACATTCATGGATTCCAATGACCACCTCTCCTCTTCCCAGTGGCCACGCCTCACCACCACGCCCTGAAAGTGAGGGACTCTTACTGTGCTAAACTGTACTTCTAGTCAGGACTTTACGGGGATTGGCTGGGATAAAAAGTAGGAAATATACTCCCTCCTCTTACAAGCTTAGGTTTTACTCTCAGGCTGAATGAAAGGAGAGCAGGGAAGTGGGAAGGAAGAGTTAAAGGTAAAAAGTGCTGTGGGGTCTAAAAGATATTTCTCTGCAGGTCTGGTTTCAACTGTTTGGACTTGCCTTAAAGCATGGGGAGAGGTCCAGAGCTGGAGGAACAATGCAGATGTAGAAGGGATGTAACAGGTGGGACCAGGGGTGCTTTCCAAAGCTGTGGCTTTAACCACCATTGATTCGGCACTGGCAACTGTGAGGAGAGGGGCCTTCAGTTCCCTGTTGCTATGGTTTCCTGAAATAGTCTCATCTCCCAGGAGAATACCCAGCCCTCCCCCTCTGCTCCCCATGGACTGCCTGGGGCTAGGATAGGAGTAGGGCTCTGGAATGCATCCTGGGCCCCTGGGGGCAGAGCTGGCTGTGTGAGGGAGAAGGGGTCATTTACAGCCAGTGGGAAAGAGCTCCAGGTTAGGATTAATGAGAGTGGAGTGGCTTCAACAAGCTGAGGGTGACAGTCTGGGACCCCAGAAGTTTTATGACTGCAGGGGCTCCAAAGTGTCCTGTTGGCTGGTTTGGGGCTCTGCTCACCTTTGGTCAGGTCCCTCCCCCAGCTGCCCAGCTGACCCTGGTGAGTGGGGCGGCTCCAGCCCCAGCACCCAGAGGGAAGGAGACAAGGCTTAATACTGCAGTTTCTGCGCAGCCCACACAAGCGGAGCTGGGGAGACTTTATTCACGTCAAGGAAAAAGTGAGAACAGGAATGAGACGAAGTGTCAAAGTGAAAGGGGAGGGGCAATACTGATAAGAGAAGAGGAAGAATAAAGTCCAGTCAACAGGCAGCCCAACACAAACGCTTGAGGGAGGGGGCCGTCCACCATCACCAGGCGCCCGGGCCAAGTACACCCGATTTCTTCTCTTGTCAGACTTAAAGAAAAGGGTAACTTGGGACTCCGGAGCACCGAGATGGGGCGAGGGGGGTCAATACTGATGGACTCGCAGCTAGCACTGCTGCAGCCCTCCCCTCCCACACTCCTCCAAGGACCTCCACGCCCTCCACACCAGTGTCTCAGTGGAGTAAGAGAAATGGGGATTTCAGCACAGCCGGGCTCTGGCACAAAGAACATGGTCAACGTGCCAGGTCCAGCCTGCACCCCCTGTACTCCAAGACCGCGGGGTGGGCCTGCGATGCTGCTGCAGCTAAGCCAGAAACAACCCATGCAGGAGACCCAGGCCCACATGGGCCTCTGGGCACACCAACAGCCAGAATTAGACCCTGTCCCAGAGCCAGGAAGTCAAGTCCATGCTGGAAGGGGTGTAGGGCATGAGATGACCAAGAGGGCCAGAAATCAGACATGGCCAACCTCCAGGCTTTCTGATTCTCAGAACCCTGGCCTGAGGCTTCATCACTGCACCTGGGGGGCTGAGAGCTGCTGCTCTCCTGACTTGGCCATGTCCAGGAAGGACGGGGTGGCTGTTAGGATGGGAGAGGGGAATAGGACTGTGTTGAGGCCATGGGAGGGAGAGGACTGGCAGGTAGGTGAGTGGGAAGGCTCTCAGCTCAGTTTCCCAGTGTTCTGACCCAGCATCCAGCACAGAGCACAGGCAGCCAGGCTTTGGGGAGCAATCACCCCCATGCTGACCCACCTTCATCAAGCAGCTTTCTCTGACCTCCCCTTGACCTGTCCTCAGCCAGCAGCCCCTACCCTTGGGGACAGAGGGGCCCATGCTGAGTGTTAGAAGGCAGTCCCGAGTCAGGAGGAGCTGGGCTCGGTTCCTCACAGGAAGTGAGATGAGGTGATACTGAGGATGGTGACTAAGGCCCCAAAGTCCCTGCCTCTGCCTCCCCAGAAGCTCCGCAGCCAGGCCAGCCCCGGGGAGCAGAGCCTGTGTAAACATGCCCAGGAGGGGAGGAGGGGTTGCTACATATGAGAAAGTTAAAAATAAATTAAAAAGCACCTGTATCCTGTGGGTCTCCACAGGCCTGAGGTCTCGGCTAGGAAGAGGGGAGTGCTAGGGGGTTATCAGGTGGGGCGGTCGGCTCCCTCTCTCACTAACAGCAGTCAGGGTTGGGGTCCTCCTCCCCAGAGGGCTCAGGAAGGAGCTGGTGGGTCAGAGCATCCTGCTAGGCTCCTGTCCCAGGAGCAGCTTCCGCACACCTCCCTGACCCCAGCTCCCGCTCACATCTTACCCTCAAGCCCCGTGGTCCACAGGGGCATCTGGGGCACCTGCTGATGAGCGGTCTGCACGAGGCACCCACATCCAGATACACAAAAGGCCTCGTTTTCAGCCTCATGCCTCCCAAATGGATCCATCTCTGCCTCAGGTGAATGTGGGAACATGAGGACTTATCACCCCTCTCCCTGAAAACTGGGATGGGATGGGATGGTGAGTTAGGACTCACAATGGCCCTGGGATTGGTCTGGCCAGGGTGTAGCCCAGGGGGCAGGTTAGGCACCTCCCCAGGGCCCAGTGACCCATGAGAAATCCAAGGGACTGACCAGCTGGCTTCTCTGCTGGGCCTGGCTCTGGGCCAAGAACTGCTGGTTTGAAGAGCTGCCAGCCCTGGTGCTGTCACTGACGGGCATTCACATCAGTAAATGCATCCTGTCTCCCTCTCTCCCTCTTGCTTTGCTTCTCAGGCACCATCTGTCTCATCTCTCTGGCAGGCTGAGAACTGCATTATTTCTACTCCACTCTACCCCTTCTGGTGACACAGCAACCACAGGGAGTTCCTGGTGCATCTCTAGCCTGCAGGGAGAGTGAGGATGGACGTGGGGCCACCGTTTGCTCTGGGAGCAGCCTCCACAGCGAGGCCCCTGCCCTGGGCCGGCCTATTCTGTGAAGCCTAGAACTTTCATACCTCCCACCTCAAAGTATCTCAAAGTGGACTTCTCCCTAGCACAAGCTCTCCTACTTTAGAAGTTACAAACTACCATTCTTTTTCATGTTGGGTTTTAAAATTTTCTGAACTGATTGCCAACATTTAAAAATTAGCAAGTATCACATAGAAACTCAGAGTTCTGGCCTCTGAAAAAAAAAAAGACAATCTGGCAACACAGGGCCTGCACTCTGAGAAGAGCTGAGCCCCAGTGGCTACTTTAATGGGGTATGTATGTCTTCTTTAGTTTGCCACAGTCCCCACCCAGCCCTGCAGCCCTCCTTTAAATCACCTGCCTGGCCCTGGAGGCATCTGAGTTTACAACTCCGGCTCTGATCCTCCCCTTCCCAGGCCCTCAGGCCCTCAGCCCCTCTGCAGCCTTACTGACAGCTGCCCTTGGATGAATCATAATCATAACCTCTCAGTATTAAGAAACCACAACGGTCATCTCATCCAGGTATCCTACTATAACCTGAATCCTCTCTCTACCTTCCTGACAAGCAGCCATCTAGCCTCTGCTTGAATACCTCCAGCAATGGGGAACTCACTACTCCCCAAGGCAGTCTGATTCTAAACTCTCCCCCACGTCCTTTTCTCACATACACACCCCAGTTCTCCGGCTTTGCCTCTCCTCAGTGGCCATACTGCCCCCTTGCCTCCACCTCCTCGTTGTTTGAGCTTCCAGCACCTTCCCCTAGTGCTGCCAGTCTCTCTCCACCTCTCACTTGCCCGCCAGGTATCCTATGCCAGCCAGGCAGGCTGCGTAGACTCCAGCTGTTCAGGCTTTTTCCCTGGTGAGCTTCCATGTACAACGGCTGTTCATCACTAGGCCCACTGCACCTAAGCAGGCTGCTAAACGAGGCAGGTGGGCCCAGGGCAAGGCATCCTTGTCTGGTCCTCATTTCCCCAGCAAGGGCTGAACAACAGGGAGGGGTAAGCAGCAGAGGCCACCCCCCAGGGACTGCTGGGGGGAGGGACAGACCCAGGCCTGAATGTTTTACTTCTTTCCCAACTGTGGCTCCTGCTTAATCCCCAGTCCTGCTGAGCCCAGTGCACTTCTGGGTCCTTGGCAAAGCCCAGCCCCTCTGCAGGCAGGTCCTAGCTTGAGCATCAGACAGAGCTGGGCTGAGTAAGGAGACTAGGTAGGGGCCCAGGAACTTCCCCCAGGGAGCCTCTCCTGGGCTCTCCTACAGCCGGGCCCAGCACGGGCCCTGCCACTAGGTAGTGTCGGCCCACAAAGCGCTGTCTGTGGGGCCACAAGGGCATGAGGGCCCCCCTGGGCCACAGGCTCTGGCTCCTGGGATAGATGCGGCCTGTGCGACACTTCTGATATGGATGACACAGACCTTTCCCAGGACTGCTCCTACCCTGCTTCCCTTTCCCTGGGTCAAGATTCTGCCAGGGCAGGCAGGACTGGAGAAACACCGACAGCCCTCTCCCTGTCCTGCCACAGGCCCAGCGGAGCTGGGAGGGTCCCCATAGATAGGATGGACCCAAATCTCAGAGAGCCCTCAGGGGCAGGGCTACCAGCAGAGCCAGCAACCCCTCCTCACCCAGCCCTGTGGCACTCTGATCTAAGAATTAGCCTTCCAGCCATTGGCAGATCCATTAGTTTTAACTTTTTCCCAAATACCTTAGACTTTAGTTGTTGAGTTAAAAACTCCGAATTAAACTCTTAACTGCCTCTGGGTCCAAAGTTAGGGGGCATGGCCCAGTGGGAGGGGCAGCAATTGGGGTGGCTGAGCTGGGATAGGCTCTTGGTGCTGCCCCTCGCCCTGCCCTGTCGTCAGCCCCGCCTTCCCCAGGTGCTGGGCTGGCTCTGGCGGGTGGATCTTGGCCCCTAGAAGTGGGCGAGACTGGGGCACTGCCCCCTGCCTCACACCCGGATCTGGTACCCGTTGAGGTCTGGCATGGCTTTGGGCT